AAAAAAAAAAAAAAAAAAAAAATCGGATATACTTGTGGTACATTCTTTCCACCACTACGTGGCTCGTCTTAACGCTTCACATCTGTATTTTCTTTACCTTTTTTTTCCCTCCTGAGTAATGCTGCACATGTCTCAACCTTTATTTAACAACTCTGCTGCTCGCTTGGAACTAAAACAGAAGAAAAGTTATGAATCTAGTCCCTAAAATAGCCAGCTGTGATTGAATCAGATACTTTTCAGAGATAAATACAAGCTTTTTTGCATTGAGGAAGTACTTTCTCATGATGTGCACCAAACATCTTGCATCACGTTTCATAAAGCCTCGTGTACACAAGTGATTCAACTCATATTCACGTGGCCCAGAATACTCACTGCAGAAAAGCAAAACTCACACATTCGCCTCGTTACTCTTCGTTCCTTTTATCAACAACTGCTCAAACAGTTTGGGAAATCATTCGCTTTCGTTCACAGAACAGAAAATAAACTCCAGGCTAAATGCTAAGCTAAGATCAACAACATGTTACCTTCTGCTTTTTACACTAAACGAGCAACAAACTTGGTGTTATCGTTTGCAGAGAAACCGAATCGCAGTTAAAAAGCTGCCTTTCCACATTAAGGAACTTTAAGAGGGGCCCAGCTGCAGGCTTCTCTCCTTGGGGGCCAACTTCTGCGAGCGTATAAGCGCTGATGCAAGGAAAGAGTAATTCTGCATGAGTATTTACTCACATTAAGATCTACAAGGACCAGTGGAAAACTTTCTTCTGACTTTATTAAGGAAAGGAAACTAAAGCGCTTTTACTTGCTTACTCTTAGGGGGGAAAAATATTATGTTTAAATTATATTTTTGTCCAGTTTGAACCACCTTTGCTACAACGGTCCTCATCAAGAAGCAATAACTCGGGATCCACAGCAACTTTCTGTTACAAGTGATGCCCCACCGCTTTTAAAATATTGTTGCTTTCTGTCTTGTACACAAAAAAAAAAAAATCTTTTGACAGAAGTTGAGCAAGCTATAGAGCCAGTAAGGAACAAAAAAAGTTGTATGCAACTGCTTAATATTAGCAGGGCTTTACATATCAGTGGACATTCAGACAACAGTTCCTTTAAAAACTCCTGGAGTCAAATGTTGCAGGGACCTTAAGCAAAAAAAAAAAAACATGTCTTAAGAAAAGCGGCTGATTTCCCAAACTGTTTCCTCAAAAAGCATCATTCATTATCACATATATTTGCTCCGAGGTCGGTGAAACCTTACAAAATAAATACTTAATTTGGTTAAAGTGGGAAAATCCATCTCCCCCGTTACGCCACTGAATACAATTCTGTATGTGAGAGAAAATGTGTTGGCGTTCTCTCAAGCAATATTTCCCTTTTATGATTGTTACTCTACTCAAACTAATAAAGAAAATTTTTTTTCATCAGTCTCTTCTGGTCTTTTCCAGCCAAGGCTAAGATACCTCCACTTCAGGAGCGCACACACACGTTAAACAAAACCAGTCCATTGTTCACTTCAAATGAGAAAAAAAAAATCTTCCATCTTGTGTGAAAGAAGTCTTAATGCTAAAGGAGAAGAAAGAAGAATGAGAGGCTGTTTGGCCACTAGGAGGTTCAGAGGACATGGCACGTTTGATGATGGCATTTTTGACTCAAAGGATGGGAGTCAAAACAAGTCTTTTCCTCTTGTTCCTCACAGAACTGAACGGTTTCTATTTGGACAGTTTTTCACCTCGATGTCCGTCTTTGTCCCGCGGTTCACTCCATGTGGGGTTTCTCCCCTCCACCCTGAGGAAGGACAAACAAGGCTTGTGTTAGCGACATATTAAGTTGGTTTGTTATAAATAAAAAGCATAAAAAAGTGACGGTTACACATATAAAAGAGGGAGTTGACATTTTTACAAGTTGACGTTTTCAGATTATTCATCTGCTTTTAAAAGCAGCCATGAATCTCTTAATGTTTTAGCTCATTTAAAATGTTAATGTCAGTTCCCTTTCATAGAAAATAATGTTCCTTTGTGGCAACAAAAAATTGAAACATTACGGTGTACTCTGTTTTTCTCTTGTTTAATTCATAATGAAATATTTTTAAAACAATGACTATAAATCTGATTAAACCAGAATGTTGAAAATGTAAATGTACCACCATTTAATAAACTCTAAATAAAGAGCAACACAAAAAGAAAAAAAATCTGCCAAAAAATTGTTTGCATAGCACTGACTTATACTAAAGAATGTGTAAAATGACTAAAATAATCCCCATTTTCTACCAGATTCTACTTAGGAAAAAAAATAGAAAAAAAAAAAGCATCAAAAGACGAGAAAAAAAAAAAGAACCATGACTTGAAACTTGTGCCAACATTCCACAGGCCCTCATCACAAACACCACCAACAAATGACCCTCTGGTCCTCTGAGTCCTGACTGGCTCCGTGTCTCACAGGGACCGAGAAAAACAACAGCTCTTAATCTGCTTTCACGCTTTCACTGAGTCAAAACGAGGGAGAGAGGGGACTCCTGATTTTACCAACAGAATGAGGTGAGGCTTCCAGGCAGAAGCATAATGAAGACATCAAAGCCCACTTGATGAGATAATTATGAAGGGGGTGGGGGTAGGGGGGGTTCCAATGCTCTTTGCACAAATTTTTAACCACGCTGCAACCTTTTCTAATGCTGTGGCTCAGGATACACGACTACTAATAAAGACAGGATGATGATGGGAGTTTTTTTTTTAAATAAAGTAAGAATCGTGCAGATGCTAATGGGAATAAATGCTAACAGGTATTTTAGACTAAATAAAGTGGGGAAATATGCAATAATATAACAGAGATTCAGTGTTTACTCAGAGAAGGCCAAAAATCAAGATAACATGGCAAACTAAAACCTGCAGTGACTAACAAAAAAGATAGAAAACGTAAAGATGCCAACTGTGACAACCACAATGCCGACAGGAAATGGCTGTTATAGATGGATTCTAACTCAGAGTTGTCTTACTTTTAGACCAGGGTGAGGACAATATTATATCAGGTTTGACCTGAGGTGACATCACTGGACTTTTGAAAACACGGTTAAACAAGTTTAGCCCTTCAATTAGAAAATGACACATCGTACCATAGCAAGCTGGCGTCCAATGTTACCCACAGTAACACCGCCTGAGAAGAATATGCACGGGAGCCAGGAGCGCACGTACAGGAAGTCTGGAGACGTGTACCTGGAAAAACAAGTAAAGAAAAGAGTACGGCTTAAAGTGCCTGTGGCATCAAATTTTTGTGATAAATATGAATGCACTTTTGGAAAGATAACATGGATAACATATTGCAAAAACAATTTCACACCACAGAGATGAACAGTGGTTAAGATGCTTGCGTGAAGTAACAGGAAGTGATGTCAAAGGGGAATGTCTGCATGTAAACAGAGCTTTGCTACGATGGCTAACAACACAGACAGCAGGGATTTTTCTGATGTTTCTTTATATAATTTTAGTCCCTATAAGAGAAAGATGAAGAAAAGTCAGAGTTCAAAAAATATTGTTTTCATAAACAAAGACCAGAGAGTTTTCTTTCTTAAAGAGTTCCCCTTTGATGTCACTTCCTGTTTCACTTTAGACGAGCCAAATTCAAAGGAAAATATGCCGGTTATGTGACAAAATGGGTTAAATCATGTGTTTTAGGCCAATTTTCTTAAATATGAAGATACTTTCTTTGACTTTATGTATTTGAAGGCTAGGCATGTCACAGGTATTTTAATACTCTGGGATTAGCAGATTGAAAGTCTAAATGTAATGTTTCAAAAATCTTCCCAGTCCTCTAGTTTGCTATATTTCATAGTTTGAGGTGAAATCATGCTGAAAAAGACAAAGTAGTTTTCATTCATTTCTGGAAGCTGAGCATTTTATCCAGGAGTGCACTTTTACACACACACAAAAAAATTAATAAATAAAAAATAACTTGAAGTGTGTACATCTTTTAAGAACATCTTCAGGCCCACATGTGAAACTGTATGTGTAAAGAAAACTGCTGACTTACTGGTAAACTCCATTGTAGACCAACAGCTGTGTGATGACAGTAGCTAAGAAAGCAGTGGTGATGCCCAAGCCAAAGCCACTTCTGGAGCGGTCAAACGTCCACCACAGCCCCAAAGACAAGGCTGCCAACGTCAGGGAGAGCTGCACATTGTTGGCAAAGTCTAGTTTCTGTGTTGTGATAAGTTAAGGTCAAAGTCAAACAGGATGACGCTGTGTTCTTCTACAAATATTGGTTTGACCGGCTGGCTCACAGTTCCACTAGTACCTAATGTCACGGGGTAAAGCGTGCTGCTGAATTACTTCRATCCCGACCCGAGGCAAAATACTGGTTTGTTTTCTCGTCCTGTTTTTTTTCTTTAAACAACGCCAAAATTAAAATGGAACAACTACGAGAAGCCGTGTGTTTGGGAACCTGTCGTGAAAGGATACAACACTTGCATGGTTGATGCCAACAAACACAGCGATGCATCTCATGACGCTGGCCCACTCTCTCTTGAACTTGTGCGGCTCTCCCAAATGGCTGTCGAGGCAGGGATACAGCAGGCCAACAACAGCTAACAGGGGAAAGAGAAAGGGAAAAAACAGATCCAAATTATACAAGATAAGCAGAAATTCTGCGAACCACAGAACAAATCCTGTTACATTATTTGCTTAGTGTGTATTTCTTTACTTAGTGACTCATTCATACACACAGATACGCCTAACAGTATTAGATGGGAAAAAAAGCCAAAAATAGGTGATTTGCTCATTTTTTCCACTTTAAGTTGTTAGATTTTTTTGACTGTGTATCTTTTAGATAAGTTTGCATTGTAGCACTTCTTCTTTTAATACATATTTGCAGTAAATCTGGGTTAAATTACAAGAATTTAAGGAGTTTGTTTTAAAAAATATCTATCTGCAAGCTAACATCTCATACTTCAGCTTTGTTTTTAAACCTTAAATATTAAATGAATTATCCATGTTAAACAAAGGATGTTATTTAATACCAAGATGTTCTTTCATTTCTGGCAAAACTGAACAGGAAGCATTGAAAACAAAACCTATACATCTGTGGATTTAGGAGTACAGTAAACTAGCTAGCTACTTTCTCACAAGTAAAACAATTGGTCAGCACACACAAAACAAAACTTTTGCGCTTGCAAGACAAAGTAACGCAAATTCACAAGAAGTAAAATGATAAAGCTTCATCTCCTCTTTGTTTTCTGCCCTGCAGCACATGGGAGGAGGAGCAAAACTCGGATGTTTTTTCCCCGCCCCTCCTCTCGCTTCCTGTTTCTAAGCCTCGAAAAGGGGAGGTCCTTCACTCACCCGTTATGACACCAACCAATGAACGCTCAGCACACGTAGTGTCTAGCCAATCAGAAGCAGAGAATCTCTACCATCTGCACCTAGGCAGGTTTTTTGACCACTGACTGCCACACATGACCGTAAACAGGGGCAAGTGGAGGGATTATATAACATATAAAACACAATAAAGCCGAATGATATCGCTCTTCCATAAGACACTACAAATGATGTCAACTGCAGCAATTATTAAAACATGTAGTGACCCTATCGTATTTACTTTAAAATGGCACAAATTACTGCTTAGTTTAGCGTGAAATGCAAATACTGCTAAAAGGTGCTTTCCCCGAATTTTGTCGACTGCAAATGAACGACACATTATGCATTATTAATATTATAAATAAAAAAACTTCATTTTGACTCTTCCCACCGCGCATTTGTTTTTGCCCCTAAATTAGCAAAAAGACCCAACTAAACAGTTTTATCCATCAGTCTTTACATCAGCTCCTGGTCCTGACTCACCTGCTCCTGTACCGCAGACAGGTGGGATCCACCAGGCAGATGAGAATAAAGTTGTCATCACCTCATCTGGAAACAGGGTGACATGTCTTTGTATCTGCAGCAAGTTGAGCACCAAGGCGAGGAAGACTCCCACCGTGAACAGGACGAGACCCCGCCGGATCAGGTTGGTGACCCGACCGTAGTGTAAGGATCCGCGGGCACTGCTGAGCACCGTGGTGATAATGGACATCATCTCTTCAGCTTTAGATACAAACCGGTTTGCCCCCGATGGATGCTCAGTTTCAGCTTTCGATGAACAAGAGCAGCTCCAGCAGTGATCCTCGAGTCTGGGCATTTGGCACTTTTGCGCTGTTTCAAGGCAAATAAATACCCCAGTTTTACAATAATGGATTGATTGTTTGTTAAAATGGTGATCTAAAATCTGAATAACCTCACATAAAAAGGTAAAAGACGCGATTCCCAGTCCTTACCTTGATCTCCAGACGWCTTGAATGTCTGATCCAAACAGAAAGCTGCCCTCCTCTTCATTCGCTCCTCCTCGGACGGACAGTCAGTGGGCTAAAGCTATGCTAAAGCTAGGACCCCCTCTTTGTTTTCCTGACAGCTGTCCCGTCGTTTGTTCACATCATCTTTAGTAAACACACTGTGTTGCTTCATTCTACGGTGAGCCCGTAGAACAAGGGCTTCCTCTGCAGAAAACAATCTCAGCTGTGTCGGGTGAGAAGCGGCGGCCAATCAGAGCGCGGCGGCTGATATGACGTGACACTGAAAGCCCCGCCCCCTCGTCCGGTGCACACGTAAGGGATCTGAAGACCGCAGGACAGAAGCGAAAGTAGAAACAGAAATGCTTTAAATAGCTGGAAAACATGTAATGTTATGGCAGACCGTTGTATCACAAAATGAAACTCATATTAATCAATGAAAAACTAAATGTCTACCCCAAAAAAACTATTAAAATAAACTGACTACAAAATAAAATAATCAAATTATAAAAAAAACACATCAAAGATTATCCTGTAATTATATCAAATGATGCAGTTTGTTAACCAGTAATTTTACAGATTTTTTATATGCAGTTCTGAAATGCTGTGTGCATTTAATGTAAACAAATACTTGGGCAAATCCAACAAAAAACCCATGCTTGAGTCACTGTAAAGGTAAACAAATGGGCGTAGGAGTGAAGTAGTGTAGTGACAAGAAGTGGGAAATCTCAGAGAAGATAGTATAAGAATGAATCTGTTGTTAAGAAAATGAGACTGGTCTCCATGGGACTCCATAATGGTGGAGCTTAATGGTTTTGCAAAGCTTTTCATAGACTGTAAAGTTTACATTTTATTCTGTTTTTTTTCCCAGTGCTATCAGTAGATGTTTATAACTGAGATCATAATTTAGCTCTAGTCTGTAATATGTTTAGAAGTTGCTTAGACTACTTTAGACCAGATGAAGGTTTGCCCAGAGCTTCTCGGCATTTGCTTGTACAGTTGTACATGTAGCATCAAACTCGACATAACAGACTTGAATACTTTAGTCAATAAATCTGAGCTTGTATATGGACCAATACATCAAAACTGTCAGACACCTTGATTACATTCTTGACTTGTTTTAAGTCGTTTTGGCTATTTCCATAAGTAAATAAAGGACACTTGGCAGCTCTTCTCAAAATTTAATTATATTTTTAAAATTTAATGACACATTAACRATTATTATGAGTCAAAAAATGCATTTATGAATTGTTTTGACCATGTCTACATGACGTTGCAATAAGGATATTGTATAGTCACAGTTTCACTTAATCTGTTTTGTGTTAACATGACTTTCAATCAAGTTCTCAAAATCCAAAATAAATTTCTAAATCTATTTGAAGTTATTTTGTTGCTACTAATATTGTAGTAAACAACTTGACTGAATGAGAATAAAATGAAAGAAAATTGTTTACCAGTAAAAACTGGGTCTCTTCAGGGCAGAGAAAAAAAGTTTCCTTTCCAGCTTCCAGCTTCTCAAACTAAATCATTAAAACCGTTCAGAGCCAAACTTATATACAACAGGCTTGAGTTGGGAAATGGGGTTAGTGGCACAACTTTGTTTTTACATGCTGGCAAAAGGCTATTGAACTCTGGGTCAGTCTACTCGAGGTGTGACTCAAAAAGAGGGGTTTATGGCATTCCTGCACGTCAGTCAAACATTGTGTAAATGGAAAAAAGGTCAATGCCCATGTTTCAAGGCCCAAAAACAATCTGGAATATGTGCAGAAGTGGGTAGATTACCCAAAAGATTTACTCAAATGAGAGTAAAAAAAATTGTCAAAAGCTTACTTGAGTTCATGAGTAATGAGTCATTACATCTGATTTAATTTAATATTTTTAAATGTCATCAGACTGACAAAAAATTAGGAAGTTACCGGTATGTGCAAATTATGTTTTTAAAGACTAAAATAAAAATAAAATAAATAAATTCCAGCAAAAGCAACAATTTTCCAAGTCACTTGACCTCTAAAGGTCTCTGCAAACTCAGCAAATGGAAAATATCTATAGAACGAAGCTTGTGTACAAACAAGAGGTCTCACTTCAACATAAACTGTAGGTGTGTGTCTCTGGTGAATTTCTGCTAAACATATTTACTCTTCATTCAGTGAAGTTACTCACAGTGGGTAAAGTGTTCAGGAATTTTATTCAAGTAAGAGTAGCAATTCTTCATAATAATATTACTCAGGTAAAATAAAAAGCATGATGTAGTAAAACTAATCCTAAAAGTAAAAATTTCCCCAAAAATGTTACTCAAGTAAATGTAACTGAGTAAATGTAACTAGTTACTACCCACCTGTTAGTCTAAAAAACCTTGCAGACAATAACAGACCCTCCCACCTCCTCTACACACATTTTTGATATAAACAACTCTTAAAACTGATTTAAAAGTAAAAAAAAAACACTTCTGTGTAAAGTTCAATGAGTTATTCTTTCAAAGGGTTAAAAAGAGAGTCAAGTTATTTTAAACAGAGTCATATCAGCTTCTGGCTCTTCAGCTGTGATGCAAGTTATCTATCTTTTTTTTGTTTGCAAATTGACTGACAAGTCATTCTGCATGACCTACAGCAAATTTAGAAAACAAAAACAGAGCGTATCAATCAGATAGCTGTTCTCTTTTCAATTAATTGTAATTGAAATGCGGTTYGGTGTCTAATTAACTGAGCAGCTGACGTCCCATTGTGTGGTACTTATTGCTTCATGGTGATTATGTTCTGCTAAGATGCAGAACCAAAAAAAATGAGTTCTGCGTCAAACAAGGGTGGGAGGTGGGAACTGGTTCTTGGCTGTCACCCAATGTTCAGCATGTCAACATGTTAAAAAGTGTTCTCGGACAAAACTGAACTCCACGTAGCGTCTTGTGCGTAATCATTGTGTGATTACAAAGATAACACAATAACCAATAATACAGTGTCGAGTGTATGAATGAGCGATTATCGGGCATCAAGTGTAAAATAAAATGATAACAAATGTCGCTAACATTTTTTATTGTTTAGTTCACTTTCAAAGTGAAAAATCCTAGTAAAAATTTTCCACAAATATTTTATTATTTAGTTCACTGTTCTTGCATTTTGCTAATATTTGCCAATAAAACATCAATTAGACTACGTTTTGTGTGCAACTCAATTATAACCAGTTTTTGCTACATTTAAACATGACATTTGCTTGTTCAAACTTAAAAACGTGGTTTATTTACTCATTTTTGACAAACCTGGTGTTCAGATTGCAAAAAATCCCCCCAATTTTCATTATAGCTTTGTTGTTGTTCAGCTTGGTGTTCTTTAATGTATGCTGCGTTACGCTGCCTCTGGCCTTGCAGTGACAATGCAAGACGTTGGTTTGAGCTTCATTGTCTTAATTGCTTTAACTATGTACACATGTGTATAAAAGGCACGTGTGGCAAGCCTTGCGAGGGTTGCTGAAAATGTTTTTTTTACATCTTCTAGGTTTGAATGTAAGTTGATGTGTTGGGCTAAATAAAACCACAGCTAACATTATAAAAGTTGTCCTGTTTCAGTTTTATTTTCTAGCAAATGAAAGGCATCAGTTCGACAAGTCAACAAATTAGAAATGTGAGTATTTTCATAACAAGATGCCTGAAAGTCTGACACCAAAAATGTGTTACRGGCATAACTTCTTATATAAATCATAAAAAAGCCATGTTCAAACTACAAGACCTTTACTGTACTCAATCATTTTAAGTTCTGGACTAATGTTATTTTCATACATTTAGTTTAAGATGAAACTATGAATAGCCAACATTTTAAAATGGGTGCTTCATTCTAACCATGTCATGACACAATTTGAAAGATAAAGCAGCTCTTTTTTTCCAGCCTCACTGAACCAGTGTCACAATCTTTTGAAAATATTACAGCTCCAGAGTGCACATTCAAACTGACCGAAGTTAAATTGGTTTCACTTGAAGAGAATGAGAAAAGCCATTTCTAAAATGACGGTGATAACTGAGTACTTAAATATAAATGTCACAGCTGCACTCCACTGGAGCTTCTCTCTTTTTTGACTAGGTTTTTAGTAAAGAAATCAAGCATAAAAGTAAGTTGAGGGTTCAAAAGTTAGCATTTGTCTCCCTGGTTTCATTTTTCAGTGCCTGAATAAATAAACCATGTCTTATAGGATGAGACAACAATCATTAAAAGTGTTTCTTTTTTTCCCCTCTCAGTTCAAATCTCCATGAAAAGATGCTTGGACACAATATTGATCTGAATTTTTACAAACATGAAGCTGCAGGCCTGAAATGACAAAGCTGCAGTCCATAGATAAAGACATCAGTCATATTGACTCTGTCCTAATTTGAGTGAAMCATGTGGTTAACAAAGATAAATCAGCACTGCCTCACAGTTTCTTAAAGGGCAGGGAAAAGGAGGTCAGAAAAGGAGAAGGGTGCCCCTGAGTTCTTTAAGCCTCAAAAAGCAAAACCACAAAAGTAATCCAAAAGTTTTCTCCTCAGCTTCAAGTCTAAAGGATTGTCTCAGGAATTAATTTTTCAGTGTAACCCCTAAAGCAATAGTTTAAATATTTTAAAATGGGACTCAGTTGAAAGGTTATGAATAACTGATATCTTACCTGCAGTGGATAGTTCTCTTGAATGACCTTAGTTTGGAGGAATAGCGTTTCATTCTGGCCAGACGAATGAGCTAACAGCTAGCAGACCAAAAAAATTCCATCCCATCATCCATCCATCCATCCATCCATCCATCCATCCATCCATNCATCCATCCATCCATCCATCCATCCATCCATCCATCCATCCATCCATCCATCCATCCATCCATCCATCCATCCATCCATCCTTCCATCCATCCACTTATTCCGAGTCAGGTTATGGGGGCAGCAGCTTGAGCAGGGAGGCTGAGACCTCTYTTTCCACAGCCACCTCTTTCAGCTCCTTTGGGAAGATTCCAAGGCGTTTCCAGACTAAATAAGGGACAGAGTTTCTCCATTGTGTCCTGAGTTTTCATCAGGGTCTCCTCCCAGTCGGAGATGCCTGAAGCACCTCCCTAGGGAGGCATCCAGGAGACATCCTTACCAGATACCATGAACCACCTCAACTGGCTCATGTCAATGTGGAGGAACAGCAGCTCTATGGATAGTTGAACTTCTCATGCTATCTCTAAAAGAGCTACCCTGCGAAGAATATTAATTTCGGCTGCCTGTATCTGCGATTTCGTTCTTTCAGAAAAGCAAGAGAAAATATCAACCATTTTGTGTGTGCCAGTAGAACCTTTTCTTGTATCAACAC